TTGGGAGGAACATGCGTAGGACCCAATCAGTGTGCCATCTGTAAACAAGAAGGACACTGGCAAAGGGAGTGCCCCCAGAGGAATGGCCAACCCAGGGGACAATCTCGCCAGTATGGAAGAGGAAGAGGATTTAGAGGGACTTTCCAGAGAGGCTTCAGAAAGAGCTTCAAAGGAAGAGAGCATCCAGTTTATCCCAATCAGACAGAGGAAAGAGAAGAAAACATGATCGGCTTAGCTGACATGGAATGGGAAGACTGAAGAGGACAGGGTTCTATCGCCCACCCCCAGAGCCCATTGTTAAAATAAGGGTGGGAGGACAGGTTGTCCCGATGCTAGTTGACACGGGAGCCACCAGATCTGTCCTAAATAAATCTATTGGCAAGCAATCAAATCCTTGTGGTAGCCGTATATTTAAAAATTCGCCAACGTGCTTTAGTCAAGCCCTAGCCCAAGATCTTGCTTATCTGAAGTTAGTCAGACAAGAGGATTGTTGCCTTCAATATGTCGATGATGTCTTAGTAACTGGCCAAAGCAGGGAGGATTGCTTTGAAAACACGTCCAGACTGCTCCAATTGTTACAAGACTGTGGTTATAGAGCATCCAAAAAGAAAGCACAATTAATTCAAGAGACTGTAATGTATTTAGGCTATGAACTTTCACAAGGACAAAGAACTTTGGGCCCCCAGAGAAAGCAAGCTGTGTTACAGATTCCCATCCCAGAAACAAAACAGGAAGTTAGAGCCTTTTTGGGAATTACAGGCTTCTGTAGAATTTGGATTCCTAACTTCGCTCTCACAGCTAAACCATTGTACCAAGCTTTAAGGGGACCAGAAAAAGAACCTCTTTTGTGGCAAGAGGAACAAACCCAAGCAATGAGACAATTGCAACAGGCTCTCACCACAGCCCCGCCCTAGGACTACCTGATATATCTAAGCCCTTTTCACTTTATGTGGATGTAAGACAAAATGTAGCTTTAGGGGTCCTTACACAAAAACAGGGAAGTTGGAACCGCCCTGTCGCTTATCTGTCAAAACACCTGGACATTTCTTCACAGGGCTGGCCCCAGTGTTTAAAAATTCTAGCAGCAGTTATGCTATTATTGCAGGAGGCAAACAGTTAACCTTTTCAGCTCCAGTGACTGTTTATACTAGTCATGCCTTGCAGACAATCATTGACAATAAAGGACATTTATGGATAAGTAATCAACAAATGCATAAAATACAGGCTCTGCAAGTTACATTGCAACAATGCTCAACTTTAAACCTAGCAACTCTAATGCCAATTCCTGATTCAACCAAACCTGTTCATGACTGCATGCAAACAATAGAACTACAATATTCTTGCAGACCTGACCTTACAGACCAACCCTTGCATAATCCAGACTATCAATGGTTTACTGATGGTTCTAGCTTTATGGATAAAGGATGTAGATACTCTGGTTACGCAATAGTTTCTCAAAATTCTACTGTTGAATCAGCACAGTTGCCTAGTCAAGCCAGTTCACAGTTTGCAGAATTATATGCCTTGACCCGTGCATTAGAAGTAGCAGCAGGAAGGACTTTAAATGTATATACAGATAGTAAATATGCATTTTTGACAATACACGCACATGCGGCTATCTACAAAGAGAGAGGATATTTGGATTCCACAGGCAAAGTTATCCAATATGCAACTTTGATTAAAAGACTTATCAAGGCAGCCCAATTGCCATCCAAAGTTGCAATCATCCATTGTCCTGGACATCAAAAAGACTCAAGCCTTATTACCCAGGGCAATAGGAAGGCAGACAAAGAAGCAAAAAAAAGCTGCATTAGAAGGTCCCCCTCTCCAATCAGATGTCACAAGGTTCATGTATTTAGACACTTACTTAGAACAACTTGATCCTACATATACGAGGGAGGAAACTCAAAAATTACAACAAGATGTACAAGCCAAACTAGTTAAAGGCTGGTACACTTTACCTGATGGACGCATTGCTGTTCCTTTGGCACTTGCTCGCCCACTTATTTTTCAGGCACACAAGCAACATCATTTGGGAAAAACTGCATTATTACAGCAACTTGAACGATTTTTTTATATTCCATTTGCTTCTTCGCTAATAGCAGATGTTTGTTCTCAATGTACCATTTGTGCCCAAACCAATGCACGCCAAGGACCAGTAATACCACCTGGCAGACAACCAATCGCTTATTTTCCTATGGACTATGTTGTTGTTGATTTTACTGACATGCCTAGAAGTAAGAAATATGTAGCATTGTTAGTAATAATTGATACCTATTCTATTCAGGAGGGATTGAAGCATTTCCAACTGTAAATAAGAAAGCTATACAGGTTGCCAGAATATTTCTTAAAGAAATTATTCCTAGATTTGGTTGCCCTTCTAGGATTTCATCAGATAATGGCCCTGAATTTGTACACCAAATCAATCAGGCTTTAGCCCAAGCATTAGGAATTAAGTGGAGATTTCATTGTGCTTTCTGCCCTCAATCGGCTGCTAGAGTGGAAAGATCCCATAGAACAATTAAAACACTTATTACCAAATTTTGTTTGGAAACTCATCTACATTGGCCAGATGTTTTGCCTATGGTTTTGTATGCAATCAGACTGGCCCCCCGCACTAAATTACAACTTAGTCCTTATGAGCTCATGTTTGGCCGTCCTCCTTGCCTGTTTAAACCTGACAGTCAAGGATGGCCCGATTTGGCACATAAGGGGGGAGTAGATCAACAGAAATTGTTACATCAGTTACAGCTTCATAATTTGGCCGTTTCAAAATTGCGCCATTATATGATGGAACAACAACCCCCTCCAGTAGTTACAGCAACACATGGGTTCAAGCCTGGAGATAGAGTGTGGGTAAAGCACTGGAAATCAGATCCCTTGAGCCCAAGATGGAAAGGACCGTATACTGTTGTCATGTGGTCTCCTTTGGCAGTGAAAACCCTGGAAGGAAAATCTTGGATCCATTGGAGTAGAGTGAAAGCAGCTGCACCTGCAGATCCGGTGACCTACAAGGTGGACAAGACTGACAAGCCTTTGGTGTTGAAATTTACAAGAAATACAGCAACAGGTTCCCAAGACACGGTGTGATCAACAACCTTGCTGAGACACCCCAGGAAGCTGTCTCTCTACGCACGGTGGAAGATATGAGGATTATACAGCTCGTAATATTTGTTAATTATTTAATATGCACACACATTCCTACACAAATCAGTACAATGGCTACACGAGAGGTCATAATGCAGAAACCCTCTAATAAAGAATTATTGAGTAGCACACACCAAGAAAGCGCAGAAACACAGGGAAACCAAGGTTGTCAAAACTGTATCAAAACTACAAAACAAGGAAACAGATAACCAAGACTTTGATTTACCATACAGTTAAACCAGAAGGGTGTCAAGATAGTTCTCCTGACTCTTGTACATACAATAGAACTACATATAAAGTTTGTAGAAAAGGTGTCCAATATCAGTGTTATAACCCGAAGTCTGATCCTGATCGTTGGGCCTTACAAATCAAAACACATAGAACAAGAACTAGCTATAAGGACCAGGCACTCTTAGGGATCTCCCAATGGAAATCCAATCCACACTCCAGTTTTAGCGTCACCTTTGATGTTTGCAAAGCAGCTAATTATTGGACTCCAACATATGGTTGTGGAGGGATCGGTAATATTCACAACTTTATCCCAAAACATAAATACTTGTGCCCACCAGATGGATGTGCGGTCAAATGTAAGTGGTGGTCATGTATTAAGTGGCATACCCAAGACCCAAAAGAGATAGACCACATCTTGTTTGAAAAGAATGAAACAAAAGCAGATTCCTGTGGAACGGATAACTGTAATTTGGTGACTCTCACAGTCAAGAATGGCAGTTGGTTCCTAGAACAGAATAGGTGGGAAGGTAAGAAATGGATGTTTGGGATAGGAATAGATACAAATGGCTATGACCCAATGTCAGAAATAGAAGTCAAAATTATAACTGCAACCAAAATACCAGAACAAAAATCATTATTTTGGTCATATTATGAGGAAATGGAGAACCTACATATTCCTGAAGTATCTAGACATGTAACCAATACCTTTGTTAAGTTAGCAGAAGACATTGCTCATACTTTAGGCGTGTCTAACTGTTTTGTGTGTGGTGGAACAAACATGGGAGAAAGGTGGCCATGGGAGGCACAAGAGTTAAATTATACCAAGGTACTGGAAATGTCTAAAAATAATAATTTAACCTATACAAGTGGGAAAGATGGTGATTGGGGTCTCACTTCCAACTTGGTAGGACATGTATGTTACTCAAGAAACAAAACAGAATCTTGTGTAGCAGTAGGTGACCTCCTATGCACAGGGACATGGGAAGATGGTAAATGGTGGTCTAGAACCAATGAGACCACTGCTATGGATTTTGGAATTAACAAGGCTGCTATAGCTATGAAGGTTTGTAGGCCTGACAGTTTTGTTAATTCTAGGATGTATTTTAATTCCTTACTTGATCCCCTGTCTTATAGCCATGATTCGGAGAATCTCAGAAAGTACAGCCCAATTAACAGCGAAACATGAAACAATGTTAGCCTTATGGGAATATAAAATGGTACCTTCAGGAGATACGGAATCAGAGGTAGAATAATGGAAGTTTAAGCTGGAAAACTTCCAAAAGGGGGGAGTAAAGTGGGAAAGAAATAGAATAACATAGAATAAAGAAGAATAAAGTAAAATAATAATGATGATGATGAAAAATCACTAAAAGCAAAAATCATGTGTCTGCATAATCTCTGAAAGAAAGCTGTGTTAGGCAAAAGCTGTATTAACAGTACGTGAATGACCTAATGCATATTTAGAAACATTGTATAAAAGTAAAAACTGCCTTCATTGTATTCCCATGAGAAATGGACCTAAACGTGTGAGAAACTATCTGAATGTTACACAAAAGTAGATTCCATATACAATGCTTCCTTTGTTCCTGAGAGAAAGAAACCTATAAAGCTTTAATTCAGACCCTCCCCCTTGTTCAGAAATTTGCTGATTGTTAAGTCACTTCTGAACCTTTTTGCGCAAAAATAAAGATCTCTCTTTCACCCATGGAATTTCGTAAAAGCCCTTTATTTTTTTAACCCAACATCCTTCTTTAGGGCCACAACAGGGCTGAAATTCCTCCAGGTGGTGGGCCTGGACTCATAAAAAATATATATATGGTGACTGAACATAGACAATCAATGGGGGAGGTAAGCAGAATTGTAAAATCTTTTCATCAAATTTTAGTGTAAAAATTGACTTCAAATTCAGAATTAGCACATCAATATACCCTAAAATGGTCCATTTTAGTGAAAAGGGTATTGATACTATTACTTTAAATTCACATGGAATCATAGCAATAAAGATATTATAATAGGAATGTGCATTAACAGATTTCCCCTTCTCTCTAAATTTGAAAGCTCTTCGTGAGAAAATTGAAATAAATATTTGATGCAGTCTGCTTTAAATTATTCATAGAATTTAAAGGCCACCTTCCTCTAAATGGTGGTGTTACTTTAGGCCAGTCACTTTCTCTCAGCCATTAATGACTGGAAAATACACAAAAACAGAACAGGTAGCAATCAACTTGAATTGTTTTGTAACAAAAGACAAGGGTAATATTATAATTTGTTATTGTAAAACAGCTTCAGTCATCTGCATTTAGCATAGGCAAGCTAACTGCAGATAATGGAAAATGCAATCCAACAACTCTCAAGGCCTAATAGCTCTTGTAGATACATACATCTGGAGAGAACCTAGTTTAAAATGATCTGAAACAGAAGTAGATATTTATTCTGAACACTACAGGCAAAAGGGCATAAAATAGGCCTTCAGATTCATTATTAACATATTCAAAGATTAAATTTCAGGTTAAGAAAGAAGTTTATTTCTTTCTTTTAAAGAAAATACTTCTTATCAAATAACAAAAACAAAAAATAATTATCAAATTTCAAGAAATTTGTTTACCTATATTACTAGAAACATCTTCACATATATTTATATAAAAATCATTCATGTAAACTCAATAGGCAATATGAATACATATTAGAAGGTGACAAAATAATAAAACAGAACTTTATCTATTTTAATTACGGTAAGGACCCTGTTTAGTATAATGATTATGGTCTGGCCTAGAAATCCTGAAAACTGATTTTAGGCCTCCTTTAGGCATGAAAGCCAACAGCCTTCCAATTTTATTGATGTATCCAGAAATTGGGAAAATATATGTGGTAATAAAGAAGATGGAACCATAGTTCCACATATTTTGTCCAACCCTACTGTGTTTTTATAAGAATATAGATGAACATAGTGTATAAATGCAGACTCACTGTGTGCAGAGATCACTGTGCAAGCCCCAGAACCCAGGAAAAGAAGAGAGGAGTTGACACAGTTTGTGTCCAGGATGTGAGGGGCCGAAGTTCATTTGAAAGTTAATTTGAACTGGATGAGCATGTGCCAGCATTGGACATTGTTTGAAATGCTGATTTTTCAGTCAAACTCTATTCTAGAAATGTCTGTAACAATCAGACTGCTTTGCAACAGCTGCACTTTTTGCTGCATAAATATATTGTGAGAAATCACACTCCAGTAGCATTGAGTCTCTTGGGGTTTGTTTGCTCCTCTCATAAAAACACTTTTTTTCAGAAAAGGAGTTCAGGAGGATGGGGCTATACCCTGATCAAAGCTTAAAGGTCAGTAGCCATTTTGTTTTTGACTCAGTTCCTGGAAGGGGAAGGCAGCCATTTCATCTACCATGAAGGGATCTGAGGATAGGAGAGCAGTCTGAACAGACATGTGTCAACCTGTCAAGGTTCTTTTGCAGTGTCAAGACATGAGGGGGGAAGGTTAGAGGAAGAAGAACAGATTTGGTTCAAAATCATTAATATGAGAGGCTAAAGGTTTTGGGCCCACAAGTCCTTTGACTCTGGTAAAATATAGGTAATGACCCTGAACATGACTATCTTGCTTGGATTCAAGGTGCAATTTGCTTCTTGTTGGATGTTTTAATTTTCTAATGTCAATTTTGCAAAAGATTCCTAAACAGTAGATGAAAATGAAACTTACACAATAACTTCCCCTACCTATATTTCCCATCTATGTTTATAGGACTACATTTTGTCAGTGATTTATAAAGACTTAATGTTTTGTAAACTTATTTTTTTTATAAAATACAGGTCTTGTACGTTCACTTGAATAATCCCTTGATTTCTTCCATTATAATGGATGATTATGTTTTAGACTGGGCTAGTAAAATAGTCTTTATTCTGTAATCTGCCAACAGATCAGCAAGGCCCAGCTATGTAAAGCACATTGTAAACATTAGACAGGAGAAAGAGGAAGATACTCAGGGAAGAGAGAACACAGAGAAAGCTTTGGAAAAAGAACTTGAGCCTCAGGAATCAAGAAAGAAAAAAACTACTCAGCTATTTAATAATTGAAAGAAACAAATCCAGAATTCCTATTGTTAGAAAGAGGTAAGCAATAAAACAACCAAGGCAATCTGGTATCTGGTAAGCAACAAAAGTTTATTTGTATTTGCAAATACCAGTACACGTGACATAGACCCAGATCAAGGCATGCAACAGTTTTTATAGCCCTTACCCCTCCCCCCATGCTCAGTACTGTTCTGGTTTTCCATTGGCTGGATACTAACAAGCTCCAAACCAATCCAGAGTGCCCATGAACAAAAACTCCCTACCAACATGTTATCACTAATCTTCTTTTGCTTTTCTTGCATAAATTAGTTATTTTTGGAATAACTTTGATTTTTATTAACCCATTTTAAACTTGAGCTAATCTCTATTTCTGTTTTGTTTTGCTGAGGAGTTAATGCTATCACACCCAGCAGTAGCTTGTAACTCCAGAGCCAGTTAAAAAGGCCAGTTCAAAGAAACTGTGAATACCTGCTGAGTTATACCTTCCTTCCTTCCTTCCTTCCTTCCTTCCTTCCTTCCTTCCTTCCTTCCTTCCTTCCTTCCTTCCTTTTTAAAGCTCTGTAAATCTTTAGTATATACCCCCTATACTATACCTGGGCTCTCTTTTTCAGACCTAACAAAGAACAGAAAGATGTTTTAATATAACAAAGAACTCTTCTTCAGCTAAGAGTGTCTTCTTCCCAGGAAATGTCTTGGAGGAAAAAAGTTCTAAGTTAAAGAACAATCCTTGACAGATTGTACTACATCCCCGTCTTTGGAGAAGTTTCACTAGTTGGAGACTCCTTTTCAGACCTGACAAAGAATAGAAAGACGTTGTAATAGAAGTTAAAAAGAACTCTTCTGCAGCTAAGCTTGTCTCCTTCCTAGGATGGGAAGGATAATGGCTCATTTGTTTTCACATTTCTTAAAACAGAAGGAAGTTTTAGACTAATTTTCCTCAACCTCAGCAACATTAAGGTGTTAACTGGAAGCATTGCTGGCCAGGGAATTCTGGAAGTTGACACCCACACAGCTTAAAGGCTTTGTGATTGACAAACATTGCTGTAGATAAACTGTCCTCTGATAAATGGCTATCATGAGCTGCAATCTATTGGAGAATTTGTTTTTCTCCTGGACAAATTAAACCAAATATCACTGCATTCCAATTTGCTTGCATATAGCTAAGGCTAGGAATTTCAAGAGGTCTCTTAAGCAACTATGAAGCACAATCATTTAAATAAATTTGATATAGATATTCAATAGCAGTAGCACTAGGACTTATATACTTCTTCATAGTGCACTACAGTCCTTTTAGAACCTATAATAATAATAGTAGTAGTAGTAGTAGTAGTAGTAGTAGTAGTAGTAGTAGTAGTAGTAATAATAATAATAATGGGACCTTGGAGGTCATCTAGTCCAACCCCCTGCTCAGGCAGGAAACCCTATACCATTTCAGACAAATGTCTGTCCAGTTTCTTCTTTAAAACTTCCAGTGTTGGAGCATTCACCACTTCTGGAGGCAGGCTGTTCCATTGGTTAATTGTTGTAACTGTCAGGAAGTTTCTCCTTAGTTCTTAGTTCTGCCTTCAGGCGCCTTGGAAAATAGCTTGACTCCCTCTTCTTTGTGGCAGCCCCTGGGATGTTGGAATACTGCTATCATGTCCCCCCTCATCCTTCTCTTCATTAAACTAGACATACTCAATTCCAGCAGCCTTTCCTTATATACTTTAGCCTCCAGTCCCCTAATCATCTTTGTTGCTCTTCTCTGTACTCTTTCTAGAGTCTCAATATATTTTTTATATCGTGGTGACCAAAACTGGATGCAGCTATTCCAAGTGTGGCCTTACCAAGGCATTGTAAAGTGGTATTAATACTTCACGTGATCTTGATTCTATCCCTCTGTTAATGGAGCCTAGCATTGTGTTGGCCTTCTTGGCAGCTGCAGTACACTGCTGGCTCATATTTAAGTGATTGTCCACTAGGACTCTGAGGTCCCTCTCATAGTTACTACTATTGAGCAAGGTACCCCCTATACTATACCTGTACACTTGGTTTTTCTTGCCTAAATGTAGAACCTTACTTTTTTCACCATTGAATTTCATTTTGTTAGATAGTGCCCAGTGTTCAAGTCTGTCCAGATCCTCCTGTATCTTAAGCCTATCTTCTGGAGTGTTGGCTATTCCTGCCAGCTTCGTGTTGTCTGCAAATTTGATGACTTCCCCATCTATCCCCTCGTCCAAATCGTTGATGAAGATGTTGAAGAGTACTAGGCCAAAACAGAGCCCTGGGGCACCCCACTACACACTTCCCTCCATGTAGATGTGGTTCCATTGAGGACCATACGCTGAGTACGACTGGTCAGCCAGCTACAGATCCATCTGGTGGTGATGCTGTCCAACCCACATTTTTCTATCTTATCAAGTAGTAGTTGTGATCTACCCTATCAAATGCCTTACTGGATGAAAACAAGCTCCAAACTCTTGCCGTCCCACTTAGTTATTTATAATCCCTCAATATTCTTTTCAAGCTCTTTTTGATTTTCTATTATCTTCCTACCTTTAACTGCTTGAACAGTTGGAAAAGCCAAGTAGGAGTAATCAAGAAGCAGCGTTGTGACAGGACTGTCTTAGGACTCCTTTGATCTTTGCTATGTATAGTTGCTCTCTTTTGCTCTGTTCTGCATAGTAACTACACAGCATAGCAGAAATTCAACAACTCTGAAATACTGAAATTCTTGCTCTTCTCAGAAAAGAATAAGGATTCTGGATCTATTATAATAATAATAGCTTGACAAAAGTTGAACAGACCAATGAGAAGACTATGTAGTTTTATAAGCTCATTGTAATATCATCTTTTATTACTTTTCTATCTATAGAAGTTCAGGAGAGGAAGAGGGGGAGGAAGATGAAGAAGACTGATCATACTTTTGTGACGGAGTTATATATTATCTAGAGCACTGTACAAATACTATTAAATATATCACATTATTTGACCTTTTTATTCTTATCCTGAGGCTTAAAAATATTTCAGAATACCTATTCTCCCATCTGAAACAACTGCAATTGTATGTTGGGCTAAGGTTCTTATTACTCATAGCCTTAGTTGCTAGCAATGATAAAATTGGTAGGATCCTGGTGCCAGAAGGAGAGGAAGTGAGGGGGGGGGGAGATGAAGAAGATTGATCATACTTTTGCAAATACAGTTGTATATTACCTAGAGCACTGAAGAACTTTCTATTGTTGTTTATAATAAATATTATTAAAAACATTATTTGATAGGTGGAACAGCATGGTGGCCTACTGGTGAAGATGCTCGTTTACCACCCAGAAGGTTGAGAGTTCAATTCTAGGTAGCAGCAGATGTTATACAGCAACTGTATTAAATGCTGAAAGGGGAAGACAGCCATTTCATCTAATTCAGGTCATGAAGGGGTCTGAGGGTACTAGGACAATCCAAATAGATCTGTATTCCAGTGGTAGGATTCAAATATGTGAACAATCGGTTCTCTGTGTGGATGCTGCTTCTGGATGTCTATATTCTGGGCCTGGGCAACAAAAAATTAGCTACCAGTTCTGCCGAAGTGGTGCAAACCGGCTGAATCCCACTACTGCCTGTATCCAAAGATCTAGTCTTCCTAAGATTTTGCTACTTATTTTCCTGGCAAAGACTAAAAGAACTTTTGGCTAGAAAGACTTGGCTGTAATTTGAGTTCCTTGAATTTAACAATTTTTAAAGGATAACAGAGGCTTTGGCTGCCAAATTCATTCCCTCTTGGAAGTTGGGGGGGGGGCATCAGTTTGTCTAGTTTTTGGGTGATTGGCTGTTATTATATCTTCAGCTTCTCAGTATGAAAAGGGGATTTGGGAGTGCAATGGGTGATTAAGAGGTTGGATGAAAAGATGGTGTAGTTTGTGTCTAAAGATACCAGTGAGGTTATGGATTTACTTAAGGATTAGATGGGATTCCTGTTACAGAGTTCCCTATGTATAGGAATCTCCCTGACCCTGCATATGATGCCATATGCAGACTGACAGTGGAGTTCCCCAATCTTATTGTTCTGGAGGACTTCATCCTGCCATCCATGTATCAGACAAGGGCTGGGAGTTCATAGTCATTCTAACAACAATGCACTTGATCCCTTATTACAAACTCAAACTACAGCAGAAGCATATGATGGACCCAGTCTTTGCCCCACGGGTTATAGTACAGCAATCTCTTGTTTTGAACAAATAATTCCCTGTTAATCCCATTTTTTTTGCAGTAAATTTACACCCTTTCTGCTGGAATTCTAGACATATTCAAAAAGTCCGCTCTTGGTGCATAATGGAACCACTTGGGTTTCAGATGGAAGGGGTTTTTCTCTGAAACTCTGATATATGGTATAAGTTGGTGATTATAGTTTTAGGTTAGATCATACCTATGCAGACTCACTGTGTGCAGGCCCCAGTGTATTTTATGGGTTACTGAGAAGCTCTAAAGGATGTAGCAGCAGAAGAGGTATTTCTGCTGATTATACTTAATTGTATTTCTCTGTTCATGGCCACCTAAATGAAGCTGTTCTGTCCCAGTGTCTAGACACTGAACGGGAAGGGGAGTCTAGATAGTGAAGAACAGGTTTGGCTCAAAACCACCAAGACTGAGATGCTAAAGATTTTGAGCCCACACAATTTTGTGTTTCATAGGTAACATTTTAGGTCAGTCCAGGAGATTGTTTTGAAAATTTAGAGGGAAAGACAACTGCTGGAAAAAGAATGAAATTGTATGCAGAAGGAACCCATTATTGTAGTCTGGCACTTTTCTCAAACTATACAGTAAGCATCAAGATGTTGGAATGTTTTTAAAGTGCACTGTATTAAAAATCTGTGAGGATTGAAAAATTCAGCTTTTGCAAAATATCAAGGTTTTCCTTCCCTCTCTTCTCAGGTAACTGAATTGTCATTTTTACAGCTGGACCTTTTAGGAGAAGAGGAAACCTTGTGCAATTTTAACATGGATGGAAAATAGCAGATTATTGACCAAAAATCTGTTTCCTTCTTGCTGACCTGGAAAGGTATCCTATTTGGCATGGAAACTGATTCTTCATGTTTTTAGAGCATTTGGGTGGTGAACCTGCCAAATGCACGCTCTCAATCAGAAGATAGCATCCTTCGAAGAAAAGACTATTTGCCTATTTATAATTAGTGTTGATTGAAAAGTCAGTATTTATTTTTCTGATTTTTATATTTTTCTAAAAAAAGATTTAATGATTTCTCTCATGGTATGATCCACTGTAGCGATAAATTCAGGACAAATCTGGATAGGGAGTTTGTTGCAGCGTGTTTTGATGAAACGCATAAACTGGGCAATTATGTTCTTGGAAACCTCATCTGGAAAGATAGTTGCCAACTTTTTTTGCCACTCAGATTCAAAGTCATAATGCCGAAGAAGAAAATTATTAGTGGTTGACAAAAAATCAAACGAAGGGGGAACAGAGGTGGTTTGTTCATGATGCTCCCAATGTGTCTCATTAAACAATATTATATAAGGTGAGAGTTCATCAGTAGGAATTTGGGAGTTGCTTCCTCCAGTTATTAAGTGGCTGAGCGGGTTTTCCTTTCTGGATTCCTCAGACTCAACTTCTTTCTTGATAACTTTCTCTGTGTTTTGTTCACTTGGAGTATTTTCCTTTTTTGCCTGCTCGGTGATTATAATATGTTTTACATGGCTGGGCCTTGCTGATCTGTTGGTGGACTTCAGAACAAAGACCACCTTACCAGCCCAGTCCTTATCACTATCCTCCACTACAATAGAAGAAGTCAACGGAGGGAGCTCTGTTGGAAGATGTAAAATGGAGCGCTTTTGTAAGGAATGACCTGATGCTCGATGAAGCCTGTTAAGGGAAGAAACCTGCTGAGGCTTCCCTATTTCTTCACCCATAGTATGTGAAGTAGGTTTTACTTGCTCTCTGGCAAGTTTTCCAGTAGTTTTTGCAAACCCTCACCTTTTTCTTAGGAGTTTAACAAATTCTGTTAGATTTTTTCCAAGCCAATGGTCTCTCTGTAATGTTTCCTGATTGCTCTTTAATCGTTCCAGAGGGCTTTTACCTGAAGTAGGTTTTATTTGTTCTCTTGCATTTTTCCCAGTGGTTTTTGCAAATCCTCGTCTTTTTGTTAGGAGCCTAAGAAATACGTCTTCTCCTGTTGGATGTTTTCCAAGCCATTGACCTTTCTGTACTGCTATATAGTGGCTCTTTAACCTTTCCAGATGGCTTTTAGTTTTCAAGCTGATTTTAGCAGAGGGTTTTGAAATTTCTTTAGCCAATTCCTCTTGGATTGCCAACTCGTGAGTTTTCTCTTCATATTCTATATTTTTTGCTTTGGGAGCCACCTGTAGCCACCTCTTATACTTTAGAGGCACTAGTCCCCTTGCCCACTTCCCCCATTTTTCAGCCACTGCAACTGAAGCAAGTTTCCCTTGCTCTCCTGCAGGATTTCCAGTGGTTGTTGCAAATCCTCGCCTTTTTGTTAATAACCTAAAAAATAGGACTTCTTCCCTTGGATTTTTTCCAAGCCAATTATTTCTCTGTACTTTTTTCTTATGGCTCTTTAACCTTTCCAGGTGTCTTTTAAACCTCAGGCTGATGTCATCAGAAGCTTCTGAAATTCCTGTGTCCAGAATAAGCATATTATCCAGACCAGCAGAATTGGTAGTCTTTCTGCAGTTAATATTTGAAGCTGGGCATAGATTTGGGACTCCATCCAACCTCTTAAGAGGTATCACTAGGATCCCAACTAAGAAAAGTTGTGTGTAGCAGAGATGGCAACCCATTCTACACATCTCCTTTTGCTCATTTGACCCCAAAATGAATGCCTTAGAGTATGGCAGCCAACATTAGCGGTCACTCTTTGTGGTTACTAAGCAACCACATGTCATTCCATATGGAGGCTTCAGGAGAAGGCCATGATATTCCAAGGATGCTGTTTGGTTGTGACATCATTTTACCATAATTGCTGATATCATAGAATTGCCAGAACCATGGCAACAAAATAGGTAGAGGTCTCTTTTTTATATGAGTTGATTTTATGAGATCACTCAAATATTTGCATTTTGGGGGGGGGGGTCAGCATCACAGTGGGGAATATCATATATTTCAAAGGGAAATCAGATTGTAAGACCTGGCTATCATTCTCCAGCTACTAAAATACATTATTGCAAATTACGTAAAGCTAGAAAAAAGGGGGATATGTAGTGAGGGAGGAGGGTATAGGAGCACTTAGACTTATATACTGCCCCTTAGTGCTTTACAGAACTCTCTGAGTAGTTTCCAATATCAGCATATTGCCCCCAACAATCTGGCTCCTTGCTTTACTGACCTTGGAAGGATGGAAGGCCATTGAGCCGTTCCATATCAAACTCCCGACTGTGGGCAGAGTTAGCCCGCAATAGTGCATATAAGATAAGCAGAAGAAAGCAGATAAATTATAAACAGAAATCCCTGTGCAACATTCAGCTATCTTCCTTCCACTCAAATTTATTTATTATCTTTGTGTCACATTGGAAGCAGCCAAATTTTGCTTATATAAGTACCATCTGTGGGACAATTTACAAGACCCACAGTAAATCTAAAAACATAAAATCAACATTGAGAATATTAAAAATGACTATTCGGGAAAAAGATGCAGTAATAGCAAAAAATGACCCTAAATAAGTTAAAATGTTTTCCAGAACAGCTTGTTATTTAGAATATTAATATTAATAAGGCTAAAATAAGGAAGTATGGAGTATTTTTTCTTTTGAAATGTAAGGATAAAAGTTGTGGTCTTAATTAACTACTTTTAAAATAATCCATAGCCCTGTGTTGTGTTGTGTTGTGTTGTATTGTGTTGAGTGGTTGAACTTTTCTGATTTTCATGAACCCTGATTGGCTAGAAAATAGGCTAAATGAAGAAATAAATAAATAATATTCTTTGAGCACAAGAAGGAGCTACGAAGATATTTAACTCTGAGCTGGAATCTGTGGTCAAATCTTTGAAAAGTCCATACAGAAAATCATAAATCAGTTAGGGGTCAAAGATACTAATTACACAGAGGATATTAAAAAAAGAACAAGAGACACATTTAGGTATAGAAAATCACCAACCTACTGTGTCAACTCTACAAATGTGTGTAATGCAAATAATTTAACTGTACCTTTGGAATACAAATCTGACACCAGCTTTTATTATGATGATGGTTTGAATATAACCCTCCCAGTGCAACTGAAAGAAGAGTGCCAAGTAAACTCACAACTCCTAAGAGGTTACTTTTGGGACTTTTTCTTCATGGATACTTTGAGAAAAAAAGATATGATAGACATCTTGGAGAAGGAAACTTTATTCTGGGGATTTACTCCAGGTTAATCTACAATGTCTAACAATTCAACTTTGAAATATTTTTTCATATATATAAATAAGGCTAAGAATTTCTTGAAGAAAAGAGGCCAATAGACACTCTTGAGAAGAAAAAGATTTCATTCTATGAAGATAAGCTGGAGGGAGTGACTTAAATTTAATGATTTAATTAGTTAGGATGGATTTTTATAAGTTTGATATATGTATTAAAAGAAAACTTTAAGGTAGTTTTGTATGTATAAAATGAGTTTGTAAATGCATGTCTTGCTGAATAATCTCTGAAGTTTGTAAAATACTATTGATTAAATTTGAAAATAAGAGAAGAAAAAGATTTACTCCATGAGGATAAATTCGAGGGAGAGATTTGAATTCATTGAGCTAATTGGAGTTAATTGAATGAAAGCTCTAATATAGTATTGCGTTTTGGGTTCTGAGTTTAAAATGAAGAGGGTTTTTTTTCCCCTTTACATATAATACTTGAGTATTTTTTAAAGTTAGTAAAATATCAAAACTAGAAAAAGTGTTTTCTCCCTTTAGAGTTAAAAAAAAAATGAAATAAAATAGAGGATTCTCTTAATATCCAGAGACAACTACCGTCCTTCTAGAGGACGCTCAAGAAGGATCAGAAGTGGATCCCGAAGAAGAGGTGGATAGACTTTACCAGCCAGCTGAAAGGAGGCAGAAGGACAGTCCGGACAAGGCCCCAGCATCTCTTCAATGCTTCAGATGCAAAGGACGCCACAAGCGAGCTGACTGCAGGTTCCGATCCGCCATTTGCAGAGCGTGTGGCAGGCAAGGCCACATTGCATCCATCTGTTTGGGTCGCCAGAAGGTCAAACCTCGTGAAGAATTGCGTCTGAAAGGTACCAGGGTCCCCAGCCAACATAGGGTGGGTTTCTGTGAATCACGCAGAAGTTATTTTGAGGACAGGGACACATAAACCCCTTAAGAAAAAGCTTTCCCTTAATGTAAGGCTGCAAGGGGTTCCCTTATCAATGGAGTTGAACACTGGGGTCCGTTCTTTCCATTATTTCTATTAACACATTCAAAACGATATGCAGCAGCAGTGGCCTTTGAGTTAAACTCAGGCCATCGAATCTAATACTTACAGATTTTCTGAATTCTACGGTGTGTGTTAAGGGGGAGGCCACTCTTAGAATACAGCATAAGGATTTTGAAGGTCCCCTAGATGTGGTGGTTGTTGGGGGTGAACGTACAAGTCTTATTGGACTCGATTGTTTCGAGGCTCTGGGAATCCAGGTAACTGGGCTGCACCATTTGCAAACATTGAGCCTGGCAGAAGTCTGAAAGGAGTTTGCAGATGTGTTTAGTTCAGAGCTAGGATCCTACAAGGGGCCCCCCATTGTGCTACGGTTACACTCAACTATCACGCCCATCAGGGTCAAGTCTAGGAGGGTACCTTTTGCCCTGAAAGGTAAAATAGATGCTGAGCTGGACAAATTGCTCCAGCAAGGCATTTTAGAACTTGTAGATTCTACCTGTTGATGAGGCAGCTGCAGAGGCCCAGACTATTGTAACTCACAGAGGGGCAGTCAAGGTCAAGAGACTGCAATTTGGGGTAAATGTAGCCCCTGGCATATTCCAAAGTGTCATGGAGAGCACACTTCGAGGTATTCCTGGGGTCTGTCCCTATTTTGATGATGTCCTCATTGCTAGGGAGTCATCTCAAAATTTAGCAGAGAGATTAAGGGCTGTTTTGCTTCGTTTTTGAAAAGCAGGCCTTAAATTAAAGAAGGATAAATGTAAGATAGGAGTCACTTCTACTGACTTCTTAGGATTCAGGATAGATGCTCAAGGCATTCACCCTGCTGAAACTAAATTGCAAGCCATCCAGCAGTCCCCAAGTCCTAAATCTAAGAATGAACTGCAAGCTTTCTTGGGGCTATTAAATTTTTACCATGCTTTTCTCCCACATAAGGCTGCAGTGGCAGAGCCATTACACAGGCTCTTAGACAAGCAGGCTCCTTGGCAGTGGACTAAAGTCCATGACAAGAGTTTCAATGAGGTTAAGGCCTTGCTCACTTCTAATGCTGTTTTAGCTCATTTCAATGAGCAAATGCCTGTTTGCATCGTCTGCGATGCATCTCCTTATGGGGTGGGAGCTGTACTTAGCCATCTGAAGGCTGATGGGACACAGGTCCCTGTGGCCTATTATTCAAGAACTCTGTCTTCTGCAGAGCGAAATTACACTCAAATTGACAGCGAAGCCTTGGCTATAGTGGCTGGCATTAAGAAATTCCATGATTTCTTATATGGCTGCCATTTCACAATCTATACTGACCATAAGCCTCTGCTGGGTTTGTTTACCACTAACAAACAGACCCCACGTATTATTTCTCCTCGTATGCTGAGATGGTCCATTTTCCTGTCAGCATATGACTATACATTAGTCCACAAACCAGAAAAAGAAATGGGCCATGCAGATGGCCTGAGCAGACTACCCCTGAACCAATTGGAGCCAGATCCTCCTCCAGCTATTACTATTCTGTCCATTCAGGAGTTGCCTGAGTCTCCCCTCAATGCTAGGGACGTGGCTGCAGAAACTGCCACTGATCACACGCTTACACGCGTGCTGACATGGGTGTTGTCAGGATGGCCTGACAAGTGCCCAGATACTGAGTTCCAAAGCTTCTGGCACAAGAAGCATGAGTTTTCTACTTTCAAGGGTTGCCTGTTACGGGGTAGCAGGGTAGTGATTCTAGCCTCATTGAGGTCTAGAATCTTGATCTCTCTGCATGAGGGACATCCTGGTATAGTTAGGATGAAAGCACTTGCGCACAACCATCTTTGGTGGCCTGGACTCGATAAAGCCATCGAGGCCCAGGTGCACGAGTGCCAAGTGTACCAACAATCTCGGCCTGAAATGCCTCAGGCCCCAGTACATAGGTGGGAGGAAACTCAAACCCCATGGTCTAGGGTGCATATAGATTACGCTGGGCCCTTTCAGGGGCAATTCTTCCTGGTTGTTGTTGATAGCCATTCCAAGTGGCTAGAGGTTGTTCCTGTTTCCTCCACTACTACTGCCAGGACCACCCAGGTGTTGAGAGGAATTTTTGCATCACATGGCCTCCCAGATGTTCTGGTTTCAGATAATGGCCCTCAATTTACTTCTTCTGAGTTCCAGGCTTTTCTTCAGGCCAATCTGATCCGGCATGCAACATTGGCTCCCTTCCACCCATCCTCCAACGGACTGGCAGAGAGAATGGTGTGTACCACCAAAGATGCCCTTAAGAAACTGACTTATGGTAACTGGCATCACAGGTTAGCAGATTTCCTTCTTGCACGCCGCATCACACCATGCACTGCCACAGGGAAGAGCCCTGCTGAACTCCGCTGGGGTCGCCGCCTCATCACTAAACTGGACAGGTTGCACCTGGACCGGGTGGCTTCACAGGTGTCACAACCGTGGGCACTTAGGAGACTCCAAGTAGGCGATCCGGTCTGGGCACGGAACTATGGGCCTGGTCATCTCTGGGTCACAGCTATAGTCTGCAAGGTCTCGGGGCTGTTGTCATACGAAGTTGCCTTGGGAGATGGCTGCGTTCTTCGCAGACACATAGACCAACTGCGTTGGAGACTGGACTCTCACCTTTTCGCTTCTGGCTCTGCTCTGGGGGGCAGGAGGACCATAACATGCATTCTGAGGCTCAGTTTCACAGGCCTAACAGGCAATCACCAGCCGCAACTGAGGCTATGGGGAATTCATTCCAAGGTTCTGCAAGTGCTCCTAACAGGAATTCACCGGATAGGGGGTCATCCCACACATCCATAATTACTCCAGACAGGGAGTCACACCGGGGGTATCCACAGTATTCCTATATGTCAGATAGTGCTTCAGACAGGGAGACTGACCGGGGGTATCCACACAAATCACAAGCAGCAAGAGAAAAAGAATTCCAACAGGGGCGCTTGCCCAATTCCGCAATTGCTCCCAAAAGAGTTCAATAGCAAAGGGGGTTGCTGTGGAGGCGACTCCTGACTCTGGCACCTTGGACACGTGCTTGGGGGCCACAGAGTACTGGGGCACTTCCGCTATCCAGCACTCTCCATCTACTGGCCTTGGGTTTGAGGGACAGTGTTCCCAAGAAGGGTCCATTGTGGACCCGGGGATTTCCACCCCTCCAAGGTATGCTGGCTTGGACTTAGAGAGTCCAGCCAGCCAGCAGATGGGTGGGTCAACAGGGTATTTGGGGCAGCAAAGTCCTGGCCTGCCTAGCCTAGTGAGCGAACAGGTAGGCCAGGCAACCTCACCAGGGTCACCTGGAAATTTAGGGCAGCAACACCCTGGCCTGCCTTGCCTGGTAGGCAAGCAGGTGGGCCAGGCAATCTCTCCTGGCCTAAGAAGGTCACAGCGGGCCAAGTGCTCACCCAAACATCTTAGAGAATTTGTGAAGTTGCTGTCAAGTCACAAGGGTTCTGTTCATGAGGCCCCTGGATAACGGGTAGATTATTTTATATTATTTTTTTGATTTCGGATATATTTATTGCTTGAACAAAGTTGGAGGGGTTTTGCCTAAGGGCAGACTCGAGTATTCCACATTCCTTGCATTTGATTAATGAAACTATATAACCCTCTTCCAATGTAGGATGTACATGTGTGGCGCAGGTATGTTCTATCTAGGGGGGAGGGGTGTTGTGTCCTGAGCCTGCAAAAGCAGGCTCAGGACATTGCACTGGTCCCGGGCCATTCCAAAGCTGCCTGGGACCAGACTGAGCGGTGCCAGCCTTGCGCGCATGTGCAAGGCATGAAAATGCTCTGTTACTTTGTTTGCCATTGTCTGGGTCTCCGGATGCTTAAAAGAGGCCTGCGTGCCTTTGGGGTTGTTAGAGTGTTGTTGAAGAAGAATAAAGAGCTGTTTAACTTTGCCATGTGTATTCATCATTCGCACACGAACAAAGTACTTAACAAATATATTTTTATCTATTGCTCTTTATTTTTAGCAGAAAGAAAGGCCAAGGCCAAAACTGTTTTAGAACAGAACTATTTGTTATTCTGATTTTAGTGGATAGAAATATAATAACTGTTCTACTCTGTGGCTGGAAAGAAAGATAGATCTCTTCAGAAATCAGAAAATGTGGCCTGATCTTTGGCTTTATTATCAGATTTACTACGAAAGATATAACCTTTAGCTTTCCTTTTGTTCACAAAACTATCTTAGGAGTAAAATGGATTCCCGTATTTTCTGGCTAATAGAAATTCCTGCATTTCATTGTGAGAGGCTCACAGGCACTATCTTGTTTCTAGACTGAACTCTATACTGAAGGATTCTTGGACATTTCCCAGTTATCCAAATTGCAAAAACTGGATATTTTTTGAATACCATAAATGCCGGCGTACAAGGCGACCCGGCGTATAAGACAACCCCTGTCTTTATAGCCGGGCCGCATTCCTAGAACGTCGTCTTATACGCCGGAAACTACCAGTATTTCCAGCGTATAAGACGACTCGGCGTATAAGACGACCCCCGTCTTTGGCGCCAATTTCAGCGCTCGCGGAAGTCGTCTTAGACGCCGGCATTTACGGTAATTACAGATACAGGAGTAGCCCAATGTAAGCAAGGAAATTCATTATTCATTCATTCAAACAAACAGAGAAAAGTGCAGTCAAGTCAACAAGTAGATTAGTCTATGGTCTATTTAGA